AATGCAAAGCCACCGTTTTCAGCGGGTTTTGACGCCCCACATGTGACAAAGCTGCGATTTTTACAGCTCCTGCCCTGACATTTTCAGGCCCTTCGAAGGTGTCCACCAAGCCCCATGGCCCTCTTAAGCCAGCTTGGGCGTGTTTACCTTGTACAGCCCGGCCCTTGCAATACAGTTCTCAACCGTCATAAGGACGACAATGGACCATATTGCAAGGCCAGCTGGATGTAGAATGTACACGTTTCGACAAAATGCAATCAAAGACCCAGTAGCTTGTCCAGTCTCCGATGCTGTGTTAGTAGCATCGCATTGGGTTTCAGTGAACAAGTGTCTATCAAAACAGCAAAACCCTGTCCAGATCGTCTCTAAGGATCTCACTCATGAATTCATGAGGAAAGCGTCAGCTTTGGCTGCATGTGTGGCTTGCCCGCCCCGTAGTGTCATGATGCACAACCCGGTGACTCAATGCTTGCAACGGCCTGCTCGCCGCTGCCGCAAGCATGTTACAGTCTTCACAACACGGCGTTTGGACCTCAATGAAAGTGTTTGTGGGGAGTCACAATGTGCGACAATGATAAATCAAGAGAAACACGGCGGTGGGGTGGGGCAAAGAGGTTGGGTTGGGTAAAGAGGCCGCTTTGACCGTCGAATCTTCGAATTGGCCGGTGAAAGTTGAAGCGTGTCCATCGGGAAACCATTCTGACTCGGGCCCACCTGAGCCACCCACGATGTACATCGCATCGTCCTGCACCATGGCTTGATGTCTGTACCTGGAGCGGATCCATCCGAAAGCCTCCCGAAAGGGATCGAGCCTTCGGTTTTGGTCCAGAGTTGAGAGGTTGGAAGTTGGTCCCCATCCTTTCTTTTTGTTTTTTCGGCTTTGTCTGTTTTAGTAGGGGAACCCTCCCCAAAAAATGAAACGGTAAAAGGGCACTGAGGACCTAGTTGCAGTATGTTTGGGGGGCTAACGTCTTACCGCCAGCTCAGGTGCACGTGGGACCTGAGCATTCGCACTTCAGATTTCAACTGTGGCCCTGCCGCGTCTTGTGCTTGCTAGCGCAGCGCAGTAGAAAGAGCCTTCAACACAAATGCCACATGGGTCCTGGATCAAGGTTGACTTGTTTTTGCGGTTCAACGTCGAGTTGGTTGCTTCAAGTGCTGAGCCATTTGGTGTCCCTGCTCCACATATTGGAACCAAACAAGTCCATGGAACAACCTCTCTCTTTTCCGTTTTTTTTTCTCTCTCGCTCTCTCTTGCTTGGGAAGACACACTCGAACTAAATCGTTTTTTGGCACTCTCAACTCAATATGGAATGCCCCCAGAGACCATTTCGCACACACTGTCACGTTTCTGAATCTTAAACATCAGTCTACAACTCATACATACCACGATACCAGGCAGTCTGGAAGTTGCAAAAGTTAGTTGTTTTTCCCCCAAGATGACATTTTCGGGAAGAAGGAATCTCAGACAACTTTATTTGTTTGCGTGTCTTTGTGTGATGACCTTTGCAGCGCTTGAGTGTCCTGCTTTAACGGTCGTGTGGCGACCATACTTGATTTCTGGTGTCACTAGCCACCAAGCAACATACAGGTTCAACACGATTCCGAGATTTGCAAAATCTTCCACGCGTGGATTTCAGCTGGTGCGTCTCATGCAATGTTGTTCGTAGAGATGGAATATTCCCATGGAAAGTGGGTTTCAGCCAAGAAGTGGAGGGTGTGATGAACCCACCATTTGTGCACCGAGAACTATTTTGGGTCATGATGAAATAAAAGGACTCCAGAGGCAATTGCTGATGGCCCGGGGAGCCTTAATTATCCATCAGCTGGGTCTGTAAATTTGTATGGTACCGGGTTCCGTGTCCACCTCGAAAATGGTATTTCTCTCACCACACCTCGCATCCTGGTACCCCGCTGACGGTCTGCGAGCCCCTGAACTCGCACCCCGCACGCCGCACCCCGCAAGCCAACCTCCAACCTGCCCGAAGCTAACCTAAACCCAGCACTAAACCACCACAACCCCACCACAGAATCCCCCACCCCCCATCACATATGCGCATACTCCCTGGCAAACAATACCGAACACCAAACTTGGTAATCTTTGACCTTGAGAGGGCAGCCCTCTGGTTCATTTCTGGGTTTCGGGATTTGCCAAGGCAAAAGATTACAAACCAAGTGCCTTTGGCCCAGATTCCCTGCGCGCCTTCCGCATGGCAAATCGCCACTGGTGATAAGATACTCCCACCTCGGCCGTGTCGTTGGGTCTCGGCACAGCGCCACACCACCCCCTCCCCCCTGTGCTGCCCAGGGTAGACCTCGAGTTCACTGGAAACATCCCCACAAAGAATAACGGCTTCCATGAGGTGCAGTCTACTCCCGCTTGCGAACAAGAGGGACATGCATTGAACCCCTCCTGGCTCACTCAAAAAGAGGACACCCTCCCAAAAATGCGTTGTTACGGGTGTTGATGATTCTGCTGCTAGTTCTTCTGCTGCAAGCTCTAACAGATGTGCGCGGGCGCCAGTGAAGTGAAGGGGGGCATTTGATTCTCAGGAACATTGTAACGCATGAAACATCGCCATGGGCAAACTGTGGAATTTCTCGAACACCTTCTCTCCGCCTGCAGTGCTGTGGTCAGCAGCACCTGATTGTGTAGCAGAACTGCGGTGTCTCAAGTTGACTGCTGAGATACCAATTGTAGTTAAATTGCCTCAGCACGGCCAGGCTGCAAGATTTTGACCATTGACATGTCTGATGGGCCTTCATTACGTTTTGCAATTTTGTCAAGAACTGAAGAGCCCAGAAGGGTGGCACTGATGAAGGAACCCCAATTCCGATCTCGCAGCTTACCCGATTTAATTCAAGGACGCCCAGTCACCGGAAAAGCCGTTCCTTGTTCATCAGGCAAGCTGGAATAAAATCCCCATGCCAACTTTCTTCTGGACTGTCCTCTCGGGCCCCTGCTGCTTTGTGCATAGATCAAATCTGTACATGTCCTCTCTGTCGCTTGGGCGTCCCCTGGAGGGGCTCACCTGAAACTGAGCCTGTCTCACAACCAGTGCTCGAACTGAGGGCCATCAAAGCACAGGGCTTGAAGTCTAGGAGCCTCCCTCTATTACATACGAACACTTTGATTGCTCGTCATCACACTATCCCGCTGCTCAACAAAGAAAGTCACCGGTTGAGGTCTCTAGCAAAGCAAGGGCAGCCCGGGGAACCATGCTACCTTTATCCTGCTGGAAACATGAAAGCAAGCCTGTGAGACACTTGATCATCCCGAATAGTGAAGGTGAGGCGCCAACACCACCCGTCTTTGTGTCTTGTGAGCAGTTGCCTTGCCCGTACATTCAAAACGTTCCAACAAATCCTGTTGGACATTGGTAGGGAGCCACTTTGTTCAAACTTGTTGGTTCTCAGAAGGGAATGAGTGGATGACCCCTATAAACCGTCCCCTATGGCTTCCCGTCAGGGAATCCCTAGGTTCATTCCCAACACCCAGGGTGCTGGGTCAATCCCTACTGAGCACCAGCAAGTTTCTCAAAAGCTGTCAAGTCCCAATCCCCTCCCCGGTCCGTCGGGTAGTTGGTGCCGTGGGTGCCGCCCCAAACGTACAGGCCTCGGGATCTCGCTGGGTGGTGCAAGATTGAAGTCCCAACCTCCAAATCCGCGAAGAACAACCAACGTGAGAGGCTGGCAATCTTCAGCATATTCGGCAGTGTGATGTGCGACTGGTGGGACGGACAGGCGGCATGACCTTAACACGTGTACACATGTCACATGTCGTCAGGCCCCATTATATCCAAGTATCGTTCCCCTCACAGAAGGCTCCATCATCAAAAGTAAGTTGCTCTTTTTGTGTGAAAGAACTGATGGGTGAAGACAATGGAAGAACAGCAACCTTCAGAACCCAAGCAAGCCTTGCAACATGCCAGTTTAAGATGCCCGAGCAAAGCCTGCGCTCTTGGAGCTGCAGGAAAGCCGCTTTCAGAAAGTGAACGAAACGGCATCCCGAAAACCTTTTGGCAAACAAACACTTCTGGGCAAGCGAATAAATCACACTTCCACACCTGGGTCACGAAACACAAAGATTGGTTTTGTCATAAATGATTACTGTGTGTCTCAAAGAAAAAGGATTGTGGTCGAGATAACTTGTTAACCATTCAATGGGCATGGACAGATCTACCTCTTTCAAATGCGTATTGCTTGCAGCTCATAAAACCTTGCCTTAACCAGCCCACACTCATCCCTACTCAGTCTTTCAAGATTCCCTCCTACATATGCAGCCCCGCCAAAGCACGCCGCATTTTGCCGCAGGCAGAAAATTCAGAAAGACTCCGCCTCGACCAAGTATCGGGGCAGCTCCCTTGCAGTCCAAGATTGCATCTTGGATGAGAGGTTGACTATGGAATGAAGAACATCTCATTGAAGCGCACAATGGGCTGATTCACCACCCGAATCTCGGATCTGAAAACTGGATCTCGGCTCTGAACACTGGTATCACTTTGAGCATGCTGGCGGTGCTCCAGATGTTTACATTGGTCCGACAATTGCAAATAGTGACAATGCACATGCAAAGAACAAACAAACAAGTGACGACAGAACATGTACGTGCTCTAGGTAGGTGGCCACGCTCACAAGCAAAACCACACACACACCCGGCCGAGTGCAATGATTGTAGGGAAGAGAATGCGAATGGCGCTGTATCCTGGCTGAATTGCCCCATTGACAGGGTCTGTTACAGGCCTATGAGCTTGTCACCGAGTCTTCCCTTTAAGGAGAGCTCCTGACCCACAAGTGCTACTCGCATAGGGGAAAGCGTAACAGTCATCTTGTTCAGCTTGTTCCTCCGTGTTGAGGATTGTTATTCTGGAGCAAACATGCGCTTAGCCGGGATGCAGTTGTCCAACCACAAATCCATGCCCAGAGCATGAGCCGCGTGTATCATAGACAGAGTATGTGTACATATATGTAGAGATTTAGTATATCTATGAATATAATCATGTCGTTGCGAGCACTGTTCTTGCAATCAAGAAGTGCCTGCCATATGCTGGACCTGCCCCGCTTGGCAACTCTCAGTGGGAAGAGGCAGGCTGCCAAAGTGGGGCAAGCAAGGTGCTCTACTGCCAAAGGCGGGCACTGCGGAGTTTTGGCCGCAGCCTCACCGTTTTGGTGCCTGAGTGGATGCAAATGGACGCGAATGGATGGCTCTGGCAGTCGATTTCAAAATTGCCGCGGTGCCCAGCACACACACAAACCAATAAACAAACCTAGACCTAAGCTAGAAGCAGGTTCAAAATGGTGGAATCCGTCATCCCATTCACTCCAAGGTCCTCCAGTAGATTCCTGTAGTCTATTTTAGTAGGGGAACCCTCCCCCAAACTAGAGGACGATTGGCCCGAAAGCATTTTTCCCCAAGTGCTCATCCAGCCGCGGAGACACCTTTTACATCGCTGCGGCGAGCGTGTCTGCACGCAGCGATGCTCAATGTGTATGGTCACATGAGAGCTCCATCTCATCGTCCTACGAGAGGAAACATGGCAGTGCTCGATCCCACATATTTACATCCGTTAAAACAAGACGAGTAAAGCTCGTAAAGCTCGAAACGAGTTACAAGCAAAAGGAAAAGCAATCAATAGCAAAGCTCACACGACGGCCACAGTTTCTGCAAAGCACGCTCGCGCGACTTAGCTCTGTGCAAGATGGCTCTGCGCAGCTTGGCTCTGTGAAAGTTGGCTCTACGCAAGCTACTTTTCGCGAGTGGCTCTGCGCAACTGGCTCTGTGCAAGTTGGCTCTGCACGAGTCTGCTCGACGCAATGTGCTTTGCACGAACTGCGCCGCGCGATTTCTCACGAAAGTGGTCTGCGCAAGCTGCATTGTTCCAGGCTGCTGCGCGCAAGTTGCTCTCTGCAAGCTGCTGCACGCAAGTGCTCTGTGCAAGTTGCTCTGCGCAAGTGCTCTGAGCAAGTTGCTCTGCGTAAGTGCTCTGCGCCAGTTGCTCCGCGCAAGCGCTTTGCGCATGTGCTCTGTGCAAGTTGGTCTGCGCAAGTGCTTTGTGCAATTGCTCTGTGCAAGTTGCTCTGCGCAAGTTGCTCTGCGCAAGTGCTGCCGGAGCTGCGGGAATGTACTTCGCGTGCTATTTTTGTACTTAAAGGTTGGGATTTTCCAGCCGGAGCTGCGGGAGTGCGCTCCGTGTACTACGTTTGTACTTAAAAGTTGCGATTTTCCAGCCGGAGCTGCGGGAGCACGCTCCGCATACTACGTCTGTACTTAAAAGTTGCGATTTTCCAGCTGGAGCTGCAGGAGCACGCTCCGCGTACTACGTTTGTACTTAAAAGCTACGATTTTCAAGCCGGAGCTGTCGCGGACCAGGGGGGAATCAAACCCGCGACCGCGGGATTGCGAAAGAAAGCACTTCCAAAGGCCATTTCGCGAGCAACAAAAACGCGCGGCGCCACAGCGAGAGCGCTTCGACAACCACGATCTCCGGAGAGGGTTCGCCGAGAATAAGAAGAATTCGCACGGCGTCACAGCGAGAGCGCTTCGACACGCACGATCTCCGCAGAGGGTCGCGCGGGAATGTCAAAAAACGCAAAAAGCCTTGAGTTTTTGCACCTCGACCACGCCGATCTCCGCAGAGGGTCGCGCGCGGGAATGTCAAAAAACGCAAAAAGCCTTGAGTTTTTGCACCTCGACCACGCCGATCTCCGCAGAGGGTCGCGCGCGGGAATGTCAAAAAACGCAGAAAAAACTCGAGTTTTTGCACCTCGACCACGCCGATCTCCGCAGAGGGTCGCATTCCCGATCGTCGGCAACATCCCCACCCCCCGCCTTGAGAAAGAGATTCTTAATACCGAGCTCTTTCTCTTTCTTTCCCGCGCGTTAAGTACTTAACCGAACTTACTTAACCCAGCTTACACAGCTGCTAAAGCCGAGCCTCTGCACCTAGCTTGGCTTAGCTCTATGCACCTAGCTCTATGCACTTGGCTCTATGCACCTGGCTCGATGCACTTCGCTCTTTGCACTTGGCTCTGTGCACTTAGCTCTGTGCACTTGGCTCCTTGCACCTCGCTCTTTGCACTTCGCTCTGAGCACTTGGCTCTATGCGCTTGGCTCTTTGCACTTGGCTCTGCGCAAGTAACTCTATGCTGGTGACTCATTGGTGCCTCTGTGCAAGTATCTCCATGCTGGTGACTCCGCGCAAGTATCTCCATGCTGGTATCTCCATGCTGGTGACTCTGTGCAAGTATCTCCATGCTGGTAACTCTGTGCAAGCTACTCTGTGCTAGTAACTCTGCGCGAGTATCTCCATGCTGGTATCTCCATGCTGGTGACTCTGTGCAAGCTACTCTGCGCAAGTTGACCAAGAGCTCCTGGTATCTCCATGCTGGTGACTCTGTGCAAGCTACTCTGCGCAAGTTGACCAAGAGCTCCGCACGGAAGAACCCTTCGCAATGCTTTCGGGAAAAAATGTAAAAGGGCAGTACTGCGGGACCTAGGCTGACAACACTTCACTCTTCAAACGCTCAGAACTTCCAAACAAGCCGCGTTGTTCATATGATTGTACACTGACATGAGTGCCGGCAAGGTCAATATCACATCTCTTTGACAGCCACTCTTGGATGTGTTCACATGCGCAACAGGAAATGCTGGAGACAACTCCATGGAGGGTCTCAGCCAGGCATCCTCTTTGGAGCTGCGCATCGCTTGTTGGCATTATCCTGTGTTCGAGTTGGACCTTCTTCGTGTAGACTTTTCCGGGACCCGTCAACTGCATTGGCCATTTGGATCCTTGGAGCCTGACATGGAGCCGCTGCTTCGAAGGATCTCTCAAGAGCAAGTTGATCCCCTCAAATTACGCACACACAAAAACTGGCCTCACCTGGGACGGTCTTACCTAGACTGGAAACAAAGAAATTCTGCATGCCTCGCGAGCTGCTATGCTTTCCCAACTTCCTTGAGCACTATATTTTGGAGCAAGACATGACCCTAGTCTTGCTGGTTCCCTACAAGAGACCAATTGGCCGATGAGAGAAAATGAAACTTCAGTCGAACCCACGCCCATGTAGATAGTCGGCCTTGTGCCGCGAATCAAACTGAAGGCCGCGTGGCGTGATTCGCAGGTTCGCCAGGGATTTTGCCGCTCCTCATACAACCTGAGGCAGGAAACGTGCGAGCTCATATCGAATCTGGCCAGGGAGGCGGCTCCCAACGCTCTGACACCGGTCTGAAAGCAAGCCCAACCACAGTGCAAGCACTGTCTAAGAAATCCGTTATAAGAAATGAGGGGCTGAGATTTGCCGACCAGGTAGGTTGCAACTGCTCTTGCTACTAAAAAAACAGTTTTGTGGATTTGCCCAACCAATTTCTTAACACACTTGTCCGATGGATGCAGCCAATAGAAGCAGTGAGTGGCCTTACGTGTCTCGTCAAGGCATGCTCGAGCAAGCAGAGTGGCCAAAAAATTGACCTTGACTTTCTTTAAAAAAACATGATCGACCAACAGGCGCTGCAAGCGAACCGGCATACTCTTGACATGACAGGGGTCTGGAAACGGCCTTTTGTGGAAGGGGATTATTTGTGAGCGGCCTGCGGTGCTGAAGGAGCTGGCTCAGAAGCTGAAGCTGTGTCTCAAGAGCATGCAACATGGTGAACTGCTGAGCGGCACGTGCAACGCAGTTCAAAACAACCTGCCAAATCAAGAGCTTAACAAAAAACGCGAATAAGTTTCGCCCTCTTTAGCCCTGGCTCCAGAGGTATATACAAGCCCTGTCAAAACACACAGCGCCTTCGGTCCCTCAGGTTCCGGGTTTCCGCCCCAAGCATCGCCCAAAGCGGCGTGGCATCAGCTGGGATTTGTGTGAGATGAGTGGCTTGGTGTGTGGGTCATACTGTGGATGGTTGCGAAATCCATTTCGCACCACTTTGAGAGACCATGGTTGAAGCCATTGTTTGTTGGTATTTGCAGGGGAATCCAGGGTTTCTTGGGTGGTGCAGGATTTTGGCCATCCACAGTAAGACCCTTTTTTTCCAAGTGCTGCGCCTGCCACGAAACCTCCAACTCACTGGGCCGGCCACAAACTCTGTACCTCACCTTGCGAGAGCGCTGCGCCCAGCTGTCACGCAAGATCCTGTCGCAAAAGGGGCGCGCGTCCACGCCAACGGGCCCGGCTCCGAGGTCACTCTGAGATTGCTCCGGCCAGGAGCCACGATCCAACTAACTTGCGGGCACCCGAAGAAACTGAAACCCGCAAAGGGTTGCACTTTTTGGATATGTCTATTCCCACGACACGCGGACACCCTTTGTTCGCGCGTGGTTAGCCTTCTCTTGTCTTCTATCGGAGTGCCGGCTTTCAACTAGTTGCCGTGCCTCCTAAACTTCCTTTGGCACGCGCAGCCCAGGAAGTGCATTTTGTCAGCTCCGGCTCGAAAGTTGCAACTTTTGAGTGCAGGCGTAGGAAAGATGAAGCACACATTGGCAGCTCCGGCAAAAAAGTCGCAAAGGCTCAGGTTTCTAGATTTCTGTTTGGACTGCCAGGACGCTTCTGCTGGCATCGAACCTTGTATTTCAGGCCCTAGAAATCCGTGGCGACAAGGAGCCAAGCTGTGAGGAGCGTCACTGCCCGTGCTCTCGCAGGCCTCGACAGCGCGAGCTGCCGACGGTGGGTTTGAAGCCACAACTCTGAACCACAAACGCGCGTGCACACCAGCTTCACATCTATGACGCTCATTGCCACCCTTTGCCCCGATGGAAATCAAAGAATTTGTACCTATGACGGGAAAGACGTTATCAACCAGCTCCACTCATACGGAATCTAGCGCCTCACGAACCCATCGGCGGCAACCATCACAAACCATTCTTGCAATTCTTCCCTCAAACATTTTGATCGGGAGCTGAAGAAAACATCAATGACCACCCTGGCAACAACCTTCTGCAAAGCTCAGAGATGGTCAAACATGACTTGCTGTTCCTTGGCTTAGCCAGCGCTTTCTGACCTTCAGTGACGCGAAGCCACTCGCAAGGGGGCGACGCGGAAGCACTGGAGAACCGAGTGTCCCGTGCATTACTTGTTCTGTCCGGAAACGGCCAAGGGATAATTTGTCCTTCGCTCCAAGGTCCAAGCGGTTTCCGCCCGCCAAAACTCAAATGTGCCGCAGTGGTAGCCAAGACCGTTGACCTTTTCAAGCTCATGTTTTGGGCACCTTGTCGCTAGTTGCCTGCAAGTTGGCACTTGCTTGGCAACCTCTGTGCCAATATTAATATTGATGAAAGCATTGCAAAGAACTGTTCGCCAAGCTCAGCCACAAGTCCTGTCACTCGAAAGCACGCCCCTTCTGTTTTTTTTTTTTTTTTTAAATGTTCTCTCTGGGGGTTTGAGCATCGGCTGAACCGCCACACATGTTTTCTGAAAAACCAGGGGCTCCGGTCCCAGTTCCTCGTCTCCTGCCTCGAAGGCCTTCGTCCAGGCTCCGGTCAGCTCCGCCAGCGGCATTCCCGTGACGATGGTGGAGTTATGCCTAGGTCAGCACAGTATGGGGGGCCCCTGACCCGAGTGCAAGGCTGCATGGGCCAAGCTTGAGCATTGCGCGCAACCGGCAACGGGCCTTGCATCCAACAGCTCGGATTTTGACTCGGGTCTAATTTGCCTGGAGAACTCTGTAGCTTTCGGAGTTGACCGCGGAAAGAGATTGGGCAGGAGTTGGCCCGCCACAACCCGACTCCGAACAGCAAACACGGCAAATCGCAGAGAGAAACCCAGAGACCCGATCTCGGCAATGGCTTGAGCAAGTGTCTGCCATGCAGGCGCCCATGGCTCCACTCCCGCGTTGCTGACTTACTGGAGCCGGTCACAGCATGGGCTTCGGACGATTTCGTTGTGTCTCTATGATGGTATCATGTATCCCACAGGCATGGTGCCTAGTCTGCTCACGAGACCAACCATATCGCAGCGCGCCTGGTATCGGAAGCAAACACTGGCGAACACGCCAGAAAAGATCAACAGGCCTGGCTGCAATCCTTGCAACTCGAATGACAATTTGTGTTCCTGTCTCATTTGCAACTGCCACCCAGGTGAAGTGTAATACTCCTTGAACTCAACAGCTTCACCCGCCCTCAGTCTCACAAAATACCCATGCAGGCCTTGAGTCCCGTGTGAGTTTCTCAAGCCCCGGCCCCTGCGCCAAGTTACGCTTCAGGACCCAGAACCGTGGTGAAGAAGCACCGGACCCAGCACGGAGAGGTCTGATTTCGAGCGCCACATCCATCAAAGCCTTAGGACTTGAGATAGGCCGCTGCGAAAAGACTTTGGAAGCGAAACCAAAGTCGCTCTGACACAGCATTGTTCGGAGAAAAAAGAGAAAAAACAACCATGGGACTGCGCTTGCCAATACGAAAAGATCATCCGCTCCACCACACAAAGCAAGAGAGATTCGAAGTGACTTTGATGCTTTCATTGATAGCTCGCTGATCGCTTACAGTCAGAGCGATGGCGCTGCTGGTTGATTGATCATGCGGGTCCCTTTTCATTGCCGGTTTCACATCAAAATCACAAAGTGGTAATTTCCCATCGGACCTTGGAGTTCACAAGCTGCAACATGGAATTTACAAACCCTTGTCACCAATGCTGGCTCTGCGCTTATCATATAACCCTTGGATTCACTCCAACTCAATTCCAGATCCCAAGGCTTGCCAAAACTCAGTTGCAGGTGTGCTCAAAAGGCTTTGTATATCTCTGAATATTAAGATCGCGGCGATACTCATATGTTCATCAATAATACCTTCATAACGGGGCGGGGGAGGGGGGTTCTGCCATCCATTGATACGCACGCAAAAAAATAAGAAAAAAAAAGAAAACGGCAAGTTGCATCCTTTTTGTACCTGTGGCAAGTTGGGGGTGAACTCCCCAACAGCCCAACAACCCAACAACAGCCTAACACAACAGCCAACAGCCCAACCAGGTCAACAGCAAGCCCAACAGCCCAACTCATTTAGGCAAAGTGGGGAAGGCGCACTGGGCAACCAGCTCCACAAAGGCCCCTCAAGCTACGCAGGCTCCTGAGCCCGACCAAGCAAGCACATGTAGCTGCATACATGCAGACATATATGCATATGGAGCTGAATGTGTGTATTGTATATATTATAACAACAAGTATACATACTCTACACATATTGCGCATCTACATGCTAAGTATGTAGATGCATAATTAGTATGTTGATGCGTAATATGTGTAGAGTATGTATATTGAAATGTAATGTACCCCCGCTCCACCCTTCGTTCGGCGAGTGGCAGCTGGGGTTCGAGGCCTCGACAACACCCACCACCTTCTCCCGCAGGCAACGCTCTGGCACAGTGCGCTGCTGTACGACCTCTCAAAGTCGCCGGTTGCGTGAGCTGGCCATGGGTCAAAATCCCGTGCCCCCAGTGAACATCCAAATCCCCACTAAAAATACACTGAATTGGGTAGTGCACCCACCCCAAAATGGTACCATTGGTTTTGACGCACACCCAGCTGAGGAACTCGAATGTGGGTGGCTAGAAAGCCTGGCTATCACCCACTGAACGGAGACTTACAACCAGGGTGAGTGGGTTATAACCATGGTTAGGTACTTAAAGGCGCGATCGGGTGCTTAGTAAGTGATTAGAAAGCCTGGGCCCGCTGAACGGAGACTTGTCCAGATACATGGCTATGCCTTTGAAACCCTCAAACGTGGTGGGACATAAATCCCGATGCACTGTCCACCAAAGGCTCCATGTCCAATAAGAATCCATACTTAAAGGGGTTTTGAGTAAGGTAGTAACCATGATTATAACCGACAAAAGCCATGGTATGTGTTGCAACAGACACATTGAGAAAATTGGTGTCAGACTCTGGCACGGTTGCATATGGGTAGACTTCAGCCAAGCGACAGATTCATTCCCTTGTTCCCTAGGATCTAACCTTATAATTCACCCGACAGCAAGAGTCCTATTTGCCTTCCCCAGTCTGACCTCACTGAGATTGAAAGCATGTTGACTTGATTCGTAGGAACCTTACGAACCACCTACCACCCACAGCCCCCAAATGTTGGAACCTTGTTTGAACCGTAGTTGGCCAAGAAAGGCGTATTTGGCCCTTACCTGTCCGTGGTGGGGCCTCTTATGATTCAAAAAGCGACTCTTCACGACTCCACCTTATGAAGTCAATCAACGGCTCCTGCCCAAATTGCTGAACCTTCCCCACTGAAAACAGCATCCCCGTGTCCACCCTCCTTCCGGACTTGCGAACCGAGTAAAACCCGCTGATTCCTCAGCCATCCAGACTTGCTGAAGCCGATCACCGATCGCCTGCCAGCTGCAAGGCTTGTTCCCATCGCAGAACCCATCGCCTCAGCGCATTCTCTTGACATGATTCCTTCCCGTTCGGAGTACAAGTCACTGAGCCCACGTTGTTGGAAAGCCTGAAACAGGGACATGCCTAAAGATCCTAAAGCTAGGAGACCTATGATGCATCCGCATTGTCACAAGTATGAATCCCAAATGGGTGGAGGTTGAATTTGTTTTTCCGGCTTCGCTGTAGCGCAAGCTGGACAAAGCATACCATATGCCACTCGAGACTCGCTGCCCCGACGCTCCAGTCCCAAACCCACGAAAGGCACCGGGAGAAATCGCTAAGCCAGCGACGGAACGTGGAGTACCAAAGTCCTAGCGGTGACTTTGCCCGGACTCCCAAGAGTGTCTACCCAACCATTTTGGGGATACCGCTGGTCCAATGAATCAAAAAGCAAAGGGGGGCCAAGCCTCAAGAGAGCCAAACACTTGCCGGGCAAGAGTGCACGCCAAAAACAGGTGTTGTCCAATGCGTTGCGCCTGCGAAACTACAAACAGCAAAGCATCATGACGGAAAGGGCAAACCTTTGAACACTGGACATTCGGATGGTACTGGTGGCAAGCAAAAACACGCTTGCCCGCCAAACATGTCATCACGAGTCTCCCGATCAACTGGCATCAAATGGCGCACATTCGCAACGATGAAACGCACTGAGCAGAAGCGCCCAGCAATGGTGCGAGTTTCGGCGGATGCTGATGCGGGCTGTACACCTGTGTTGCACGTGCGTGTATGTATATATATATATATATACTTGTTGCATATATATGTTCAGGCCCCCCCCATGAACTACCTTTTGTGTGCTGTTGCAATGTCTCAAGGTCAACAATTTTATTTATCTGAAGGGCAACTATTCTGCGTATCTGAAGGGCAATGTCTCAAGGTCAATAATTCTAGCCCGCAGCACTTTCAGAAGCTGTGGACATTACAAACATGGTGTATATATATATATATATATACACACATAAATATGGTCTGGCCATAAATATATATATATATACGGTCTGGCCTATACTCTTCAAATCATTCTTTGGGTTTTCCTTGAGTGGTTTAGGCCTTTAGACAAAAACTATGGAAAACACAGTGTTTTTGCAGTCATTTTATGAACAAAGAAGGGAAGGTAGTATGTATGCTCAGCAGCCCCCCTATGGTCTACCTTTTCTGTGACATGTGTACCATCTGCAAGTCAAACCAGTCAGTGTCACCTCTGTCCATGTTATGTCACATTAACAAGTCCAAAAAAATGTCTCGAGCCCGATAAACTCTACTCAAATTCCATTTCGTTTTTGTCGAGAGCCAATTTGGAAAGGATTCCGTATTCAAATTGGAAATTGCAACCCAGATTAAACCTCTTCCCCATTAATAATTTGCTCTTGAACTACTAAACCGGTAAAGTCAAATTTAAAAAGGAAACCCTTTTCGCCCCCTCATTTAAAGCAGAAAAGTTACCCCATGTTTCTTCTTATATTCTCGTCAGGTGCTAGTTAAACCTTAATCCAAATCCTATTTGGCATAAGCAAACTTAGAAGGAGCCCTAAGAGGATCTCGAGGGGCTTGTTAAGAAGCTGCAATCACCTGCAGCTCATTACATATAATTGGTGCCTCTGTTCTGTTCCATCTGCAAATTAAAACCGGCTCCATTCTATTTTGAAACTGAAACTTATATCAGGATTCCGCCGTTAGTAAACTCTACCCGGATTCGAATCAAGTTTATCGACATCCTTTGGGAAAAGCCTTATTAAAAATCGAACTTTAACTTAACATTATGATTCCACTTGTTCCTGATTAAATTCTACTAACACAAACTAATAAGATGAAAATCCGATTGGGAAGGGACTCCTCTTTAAATTATCATACTGAACGGAAATTATTTGTATCTGATTATGCCATTAAAACCTGTTCAACGTCTTTTTGGAATCAACATCCTGTCTGGAATGAGGAGCCCTGGCAGGATCTTTTAAGGAGCTTTATTAAGGAGCTTCATAAGAAGCAGCGCAAGAAACTTTACAAGCAGCGTTGCCAGGATTTGCAAAAGGAGAAGGAGCCTTGCAAAGAAGCTTTATAAGGATCTGTTCAACTGTGCTGTTTGGGGCCCTCTTCAGGTTGCTGTTGGAGGTGCTGGCAACGGCCTGCCGTGTTTGCGAGAGGTTGACGGCAGGGAACGAGGGGGCATGCAGTTTGGAGGCGCTGATGGTGCTGGTGCGGGCGCATTTTTGTGCGAGGGGCGCTTGTCAGGGCGCTGTTTGCTCGCTGAAGGTGGTGCTGCGCCGGGGGCTTTGGGCCTGTTTAAAGGCTGCAGTGAGGGTGGTCAGGTTGTTGGGCGCAGTGGGCAATGGCTGGACACGGTGCTGTCAGAGCGTAGGTGCGCTTTGGCGGTCTGTTTGGCGCTGCAGTCGAAGGTCAGGGGCTCTGGTCAGGGTTGCTGGTCAGGGTGGTGGTGGTGGTGGTGGTGGTGGTGGTGGTGGTGGTGGTGGTGGTGCTGTTCGTGGTTGTGGTATGTCAACAATATCATGACGCTGCTGGAATCAATGCGATGCTGGGGTGAGGTAGCCCCGTCATGCTGCCAACATCACCATGATGATGCTGAATTTCATTACGATGTCGCAGGATGATTCGTGGTTGTGGTATCATCATGACGCTGTCTGCGTTATTACGACGCTGTCCGCATCATCACGATGCTGTCGAACTCATCAGGACGCCGTCTCTGTCTTACATGTTGACGCGACGGTTTTTGGCTGGCATATCATGATGGTGTCAACATCACCATTTTGCTGTTGAACACATTAGGAAGTTGTTGCTGGTACGTCTATTTAGCGCGCAATGCTGAGTGGCTGCGGAATCATCATGATGCTGTGAACGTCATGATGATGCTGTCAACATCACTGTGACGCTGCTTGAACAACTACCATGCTGCGTCGTGGTTCGTAGCCGTGGTATGCTATCTGGGGTCTATGCTATGCTGGCTTCTTTGGACAAATTCCCGCGCAAAGGCCAAACAACTCGATGCTCTTTTGGTTTGTGGACATCTGGCCTTCTAAAAATGCGTTTGTGGCTTTTGTGAAGGAAAATGTCAAAAAACTCAAAGAGTGGGGCGGAGAACAAAAACAGGAAGCGAAAGCAACAAAGTTTGGGCCTGACACCAAAGCTTCTTTCCAGGAGACTGATTTTGGTTCTCGAGTTGTGTGCTTTGGTTTCCATGTGTTTTATTACTGGATTACTACGAGATAAGTAACATTCGTTATTATATGCACTTGCGTGCACTAGGAAGAGTCAAATCGAGCCTACATACGGTTTAAAAACTGCACATGTCCAAAACACGTGAACACACGGTGGCTCTTGTAAAACAAGATGCTTTTTTGGCATGCCCAACTCAACGTGGAATGCCCCCAAACACAAGAATCTGGTCAAGGGTTTGGCACACACACACACACTTCCATGATTGTGCAACTCAAAAAGCCACGATACCAGGCAGTATGGCATTTAACATGTGCACTGTCAATACGCAAAAGCTCTTGAACGGGCTTCAAAAGGCCAGCCAAAGGTAAATCATGGAACGGGGCTGACCATTGGATGTTGTTTTCATTCTTTATGTATATATAATGTGCATGCAGATGCAAATGTATATTCGAAAAGCAAGCAATAAATACAAGTGCTGCCGCTTCTCGCCGCGTATCCTCAACTGAAATGGGTCATTGGAGTCCAAGCTTAGATCGACCCGATTGTACGCAACATGTATGTCTATGTTCTTTGTTCTTGGTTTTGTTGTTTGCTTTTTGGGGGGAGGGGTGGTACCCTAGTTGGGGTTGGTTCAAAGGGGAGCTAAAGGGAAAACCACCCATTTTGAGGGCTGCGCTAAATGGAGACAAACCCATATACATGTATTTGTATAGTTTCATATATATATATATATATATGAATACACAATGCGAGCATACACAAACACAAAAGTGAAGTCCAACAAACAGCTTTAAGCTCGCATGGCCTGTAGCTCTGCTCAAAGCAAACCTGTCCCTGTGCAATCCACCAAGCAATGCAGTCAACAGTTCCTAATCCATCTGCCAACCATCAACTGCATGTCTGCTTTGGACCTCTCGCCAAGTTGCAACGGGGGACCTCTCACCAAGTTGCAACACGGCC